AACGTAGCGCAGAATCTCTGGCCGAGCATGGGCACACCTGAGAATACGAAGCAGGTCTCTCTTGGTGGCATGGCGCGGATTGGCATGGGCCTTCTCCACCTGTCGAATCTGCTCTTGAGTCAACGGACAGTCCTGCTGCTGCTGCTCCTCCCCCCCATCCTCCTCCTCGTCCTCTGAGCTGTACTGTTCGGGGCCCTCCGCCGGAGACAGAGTCCGTGGCGCCAGCACACCGCTCGGAAAGCTCTCGTCAACTCCCTGCCCCCGAAGCTCGGCGGATCGGTGGGCCGCGTGGGCTATGGCCTTACAGAACTTGATAGGATAGCATGCCGCACGTCGCGGCAGACCGCCCCCCTCCAGCACCAGATGTTGATGATCCCCGACACACCGCTTTCCCAAGAGAGCCTTGTGTACTTCACAGTCGTTGGAGGCCACGGTAGTTGGTTTCTTGGAGGTCGTGCCAGGCCTAACAGAGAGCCCGAACCTGCGCATGTCGAAAGTGATCCTGGTCACGCCCGGGAGCTCCAGAAGCCTCTGAGTACTGGGAAGGGCCCATGAAGTCGCAGTAGTGGGTTGTTCCAGGGCAAACCTGCGACCACCTTCGATCCGAAGCTCGATTATTTCCATGGCATGCGAGCAAAGGTCCAGAGCCTCCTCTCGCGCCCTGGCCATGTTGACTGGTTCACGTCGCTCCTTATTGACGGCGCTGATGGAGGCAAACTAAGTGCAGGGGGGGCTGAGGATACCAGCCACGGGCGCCACTTCTGGATCAATTTCTTACCTAGCTCCCTGTGATCTGTCCGTCGGAAGTCCCAGCCCGCGGTTAGGTCTAAGCTACCGCGCCTCTGGAGCCCAGCTGAGAGGAGACCTCTGCAATACGAGGAGCCGAGAAAACCTCCGCGAACTCGCAGCCCCAGGAGTCGGAGCCAGAACCTCTTCCGAGACCTCGGAAACCCAGACGTAGACGACGCCCATCCCTCTGGTCGACCCGGAACGTGCGAGAGCGGTTGCCCAGGCCCGCTAGGTTAACTAACGCGTCGTCGGAGTCGGGAAGTAGCTCGGAGCCGCGTAGCAATGTAGTAGACAGATACCTCTGGAGGGGGATAACGTAGTAGGACCCCTCCCCCGCAGACCCGTCATCAATATTGCCGGAGCCGCCCTGGGAGGTAGAAACGGAGGTACTGACCTGGAATCGGTAGCGCCCGTCGTCGGATTCGCACTGCCAGGTAGAGACTGAGGAGGAGTGGTGACGGTAAGACGAGGAGGTGGAACTGCCCTCGTTTTCCTCCAGTAACTCCTGGTCGACCCGGCAGCACCTGTCGCTTGCTCTGGCCTGCCCCAGGGCAGCGCTGGCCTCTCTGAGTGAACTGCGAAAGGTAGGAATTTGAAGCCAGCACTCCTGACGAGGCTCGTCGCCTAGCAGCCGCAGCACGCCACTCTCTCTCTCTCTCTCTCTCTCTCTCTCTCTCTCTCTCTCTCTCTCTCTCTCAGCAGTCCCTCATGTCGGTGTCCGCCGGGACCTCCTCCACTATGGTGAACCCGAAGTTTGGGGGCGCCCCGGCAGCTGTTGGCGGTGGTCCAGTTGGCGGCGCCGACGTGCTGGAGGCCGCACTCGCGCCGGTTGCTGTCTGCTCTGAACTCATCTGCTGCATCGCGGCCACCATGTGTGAGAGCGTCACCGACTGCTCGCGTAGCGCAGCCGTCATCGGCCCCGTGGAGGCCGCCATCGCCTCGGCCACTGCTGCCGAGAGACCCCGCGACATATCCATCGCCCAAGGCGGAGAGGCTCCTGGTTGAAGCTGGACCAGGTGTTCTCGTCGTTCGGCGCCGCTGCCACACGCCGACGCGGAGCTGGGGCTGGACCCTCCTGCATCGCCGACCTCAGTGGCCTGACGTCGCGCGGGAGCTGCTGCTTGAGCTTCTTCAGCTCGGACGCCGCCATCTGCCGGTGGCCGCCCCCGCGGAACCCGACCTCCCGATAGGGTGACCTCGCCTTGCACTTGCGGCACTGCCCCCAGTGCCCGCGCTGGTTGCGAGAGGTCTCGAACCACCTGGGACGATGAATGCATTGCGTCCAGGGCACCGGTCCGTCCGCCAGGGGCTCCGTCATCGGGACCTTGTGCTCGTAGAGGTCGTCCACCAGCCTGGAGCCCTCCACGATCCTCCGACGCAGTTCCCTTCCCGGGAAGAGCCCCCCGCGCTTGCCCTGGGCGTAGAACTTGTCCACGAGGTTCTGCATCCACGTCGTCCCAGCGCGTGGCAGCCGGACCCACTGAATCTTGACCCGCTCGGAGACGCTCGAGTCCGGGGGGCCCCGCATCGTCGTGAATCGGATCTCGCTGCGAGTCTGGAAACTGCGCCTGGTTCAGAGTTTGAGCCGAAGCAGCTGCTGGGTCGGAGCTGCAGTGAGAGTCGTGGCGGGAGGAAGGCGTCGTAGGATTCGGACTGTGGTAGTTGTTAGCAGGGCCCCTGAGCTTGCCCTCACCGCGACGCCCCCAACCTTCGAGGGCCTGGAGTGATCCCTCCAAGAAAGCTCTTTTTTTCAGTCGGGGCTCGGAAGGCGCCCGGGCCGAGAGCGGCAGGCAAGGCGCGCGAGTTGGGAGAGGAGCCGCTCTCCGTCACGCGCCAGTCGCTGGCGTGGATCCCCCGGTGGGTCTTCCCGATCCAGCGGAGCTTAGTCTCAGCCCAACTCCCTCAGGAGAAGAAGATCCTTCTCGTAGTCCAGCACCGCGCCGAACTGCTCGAGGAACCCGCCTGGCAGGAGAGGAGGCAGGCCCTCCTCTGCGACCGCGAAGTCGATGGCCCCGCTCTTGCCACTGATGGATATCGGCACCACTGCTACTCCAATCAGCGTTGCCGAGCCTCCGATGCCTCGAGGTGTCTGCATATTCTTCTCGATCCAGTTGATCTGCATGCCTCGTTGCCGCAGGTCTCCCTCGAGCTCCCTCAAGGCCCGGCGGCCGATGATCGCCTGGGAGGCGCCGCTGTCCACAATGATCAGGCCGCTCTCCAGGACCAGCATTGAGATCCCCGTCTGATCGGCCCCCTGGCCGGTGATCCCTTTGAGGCTCGCCAGGACCTCCCTGCCCAAGACCATGATGCCACTGATGAGGTAGTCCTGGTTGTCGTTCCCCTCGATGGCCGCGAACGTGAAAGCCTCGACCGCAGGCCCTCCGGGCCGAGGTCTGCCCCTGCCATCTCCTTTCTCTCGGGGACGGCGAGGGCTCTTGCACTCCTTGTGCCAGTGCCCTACCTCTCCACAATTGCCGCACTTCGTGATCAGCATCAGCTGCGACGAGGTGAGCCTGCGCTTCTTCTTCTTCTTCCAGAATCCCCGATCGCGCTTGAGGGCCGTCTTCAGCTGCTGGTTCTCCTTCCACGTCTTCTTGGTCTTCCCGATCTGCGCCAGAGTCTCGACCACCTCCGGCTCCACGAGACCCTTCTCGGAGATCTCGACGAGCACCAGGGCCTCGTCCTCTGAGTCGAGCTCGTCAGCCCAGTACGACCACTCGTAGATCGGCTCCTCGATGGACGAGGACTCTCCGGCGTGAGGATCGGGAGAAGACTGCATCTCCTCCGGCTCGATACTCAGTAGTGATGACTGCTCGCCGTCACTCCAGACCTTCCCTCCAGTGTCTAGCTTTGGCAGTGCCCAGAGAATGTCCTCACCCCTCATCGAGCCCTTCGTCAAGCTCTTCAAGTTATGTCTGCCCTGCTCGCTGAGACGAGCACCTTGCATCAGCAGCATACCCTGTATCTTCTCCGGGATCTCCATCCCGATGCTCTTCGCTTTGTCGAAGTGGCATTTGCGTCTCTCCGCGAAGGTGTGCAGATCCTCGTCCTTCTCCCGCTCGGTGTCCTGCATGGCCTCACTGCCCGTCCGGAAGAGATCGTCGTCCTCTCGCTCGCCGGACTTGAAGCCCATTCTCTGTAGTATGAGCTCTACCGTCAGCTCGCTGTCCGGAAAGTCCTCGAGGAACGATCAAAAGTCCCAGGGCAGGATCTCCAGGAGTCTGTCTGCTGCCTGTACTTAGCCCAGGTGCAAGCTGTCCTTCCAGCGCTTCGCGCACTGCTTCCATAGTCGGAAGTTCTCCCAGCGTGGCCAGGAAGGAGCTGGCCTGGGCTGGGTCCATTGGCCCTGCCACCAGCCGTGGCTGCCCTGCCACGAGCTGCCTTGATCCCAGGCTTGTTGTCTCCAGGATCTGCTTTTCCACTCGTCGTCTTGATCCCAGGGCTGTCGTTGCCAGGATCCGTCTCTCCATGCCTTCCACGAGTCTGATGTCCTCATGGATGGCGGTGTGTACTTGTCATCTCCGCTCGCGTGCTTGGTGGCGGACTCTGCCCACTCCGTGTTAGCCTTCCGCTCCTCTCGCCACGGACCGCAGTCCGTCCAGTCGTCGACCATACTCCAGCCTGCCTCGTGGGATGGTGCTACACTGGGGTCTTGACCGGCGAGACCCTGGAGGTTCGGCGAGTCCTCTGGTGGTGCCGAGGCCAGAGAGGCCCCAGTGCCCAGCCGTATCATCTGAGCCACTTTGCCCGCGATCTTGGACATGTCTGTTTCTGATAGCCCATCTCTGCCGCCTGCTGAGGCAGCTGCACTCGAGTGACTCATCACCCGTCTTCAGTCCTTGCACCCTCGTTGGTCGCCCTCGCCCTGCCGTAGATCGGTAGACCGTCCTCCAGCGCACCCGCCATGGGCCTCGCCAGAAGTCGTCTGATGAACCACGCTCCGCCTACCACTGTAGGCACGTCGGGCTCAGGCGGCCATCGCAAGATTGAATAGGATGCTGTTGCACTCTGTGCACACAAATCCCTTGAGCCAGCGTGTCGCGGATGTGCACATGCAACAGACAAGAAACACAGATGCAGAGAGCAAAGATATAGACAGGATAGTCAGGACGAGGGGGAGCCATATGATTCCACAGGCTGGCCTCGGAGGTTTGCTGGCAACGGCGTCTACCAAGAACTCCCTATCCTCCTCTTCTTCTATCTCCCCCACGCGTTCCAAGAAGTGTTTCCACAACGAATTGGAGTGAACACATAGTGCGTTAGCTTGGCCGAGCTCTAGCCGCATTAGTTGCCACATCGACGCTTCCAAATGGCAGGGGGCGGCGGTGACTCGCCGCAGGCGTCTTCGATACTTCTACGTTGGGCGTACCGTAGAATAAACCGAGCTGCTGCAGGCGGCTGCTGCAGGCGGCTGCGATGCACCAAAAAGTTGGCTACAACACGAAGTGTGCGATTGCCAAGAGCTCCTCCATACGCCGCCCATGCGCCGTCCATGCGCCAGCAGGACGGGGTAAAGAGAGAAGAGCTGGGAACGAGAGACGAGAAACGAACGCACAACGCTGAATGAATACAGCCCGGAGATATCATCAAACAACTTATGACTCAAGAAATCTGGGCCAGCTTACCAGAGGTTTCTTGAGACAGGCCTGGGTCAATTTCTGCCGTTGATCCTGGAATGACGAACGCGCTCAAGAAGCTGGGCCAGCTCTCTGGCAAGCTGGTCCAGAGACGGTGGCCCAGCTTATCGGGAGGAGGCTCCTGAAACACACCCTCGACTGTAAGATGTGGCGGCTGGACGTCAAGCCGATGACGAGTAAACGCACGCTGGCGCCGACACGTGCACACGTGTGCATCCACACTCTCGTTATCGATGTGGTGCGCATCACGAAGCCCATACAAGTGGCACGTGCGTGCCCAGGCTCATACAAAAAAAACTGAAAGGACGCTTGAAGCAGGAAGACACCATGACTGCAGGATCGGAGATGGAGAAGGGGAAGCTGGGGCGGCGCCGGCAGGGCGCACCTAAGAGAAGGGGAAGTGGCAGGAGGTGAACGCAGAAGAATCTAAGATCGAGGTCGCACTCGAGCGCAAGTGGGGTTGCCACACCTTGCGATGTGTGTAGAAGGGGCCCCCAGGAAACCTCAGGAGGAACGACTTGGATACCGGAAGAGGCTCCAGGAGGCCCCGGGATTGTGAGTGTTGTGTGTGTGATGTGTGCTCTGTGTTGTGCGTGTTTTCTGTGCGTTGTAGGTGTTGTGTGTGTTATGTTTGTCTAGCGTGTGATGTGTGGGGGGTGATTTGTGTCTCTGTGTGTGCATGTAATTCTGAGGCCCCAGGAGGCCCCAGGAGGCCCCAGGCGGCCTCAGGAGGCCCCAGACCCCAGGAGGCTCCAGGAGGCCCCAAGAGGCTCCAGGAGGCCGCAGGAGGCCCCAGGAGGTTCCAGGAGACCCCCAGGAGGCTCCGAGGCGGGGTCTGGGGTACCAGAAAGTACAGAAAGCCCCAGGAGGCCCCAGGAGGTTCCAGGAGGCTCCCAAGAGGCTCCGAGGCGGGGTCTGGGGTACCAGAAGGTACGTCGGGGCTCGATTTTGGGAGGACGTCTCAGGCGAAATCGCCATTCTCTGAGAATCGGGGTCAAAATCATTGAAATTACAATGAGTTTTTGAAGGTTTTATGTTCGAATGTTGAAATTCCCATGTGTTTTTTAAAACCTGACGTCACGATCTGCGTGAGGGGTGCCACCGATTTTCAGAAGTTCGAGGATGTCCCTAGCGAAAGGGCCAGAAAAATCGCGGACGCCGCCTTCAATTAAACGGTTTTGAACTCTACTCCCTCGGAGAAGTGCGTATGAATGAACACATATATATATATATATATATATATATATATATATATATATATATATATACATATACATATATACATATATATATATATATGGTCGCCCCCCCCCCTATGATCTACCTCACGCCTCTTTGCGGCATCTCGCTCGTCTGTTAATCTTTCGGATGTAATTGCACGCAGCTTTGCTTTCGGAGACAATCGAGGGAGCATGAAGGCGGGAGGGTTGAGGAGCTGGAGAGCGGGAGAGCGGGAGAGCGAGAGAGCGGGAGAGCGGGAGAGCGGGAGAGCGGGAGAGCGGGAGAGCGGGAGAGCGGGAGAGTGGGAGAGCGGGAGAGCGGGAGAGCGGGAGAGCGGGAGAGCGGGAGAGTTATGAAGCAAATCCCGCATGCTCCCCCCGAGCATGCGGGATTCGCTTCATGGGGCCGCGGCCTCTCCCCTATGAAGCAAATCCCGCATGCTCCTGGGGAGCATGCGGGATTCTCTTCATGGGGCCGCGGCCGCCCTGCTATGAAGCAAATCCCGCATGCTCCGCTCTCTCGCTCTTCCGCTCTCCCGCTCTCCCGCTCTCCCGCTCTCCCGCTCTCCCGCTCCCCCACTCTCCCGCTCTCCCGCTCTCCCGCTCTCCCGCTCTCCCGCTCCCCCGCTCTCCCGCTCTCCCGCTTTCCCGCTCTCCCGCTCTCCCGTTCTCCCGCTCTCCCGCTCTCCCGCTCTCCCGCTCTTCCGCTCTCCCGCTCTCCCGCTCCCCCGGTCTCCCGCTCCCCCGGTCCCCCACTCTCCCGCTCTCCCGCTCTCCCGCTCTCCCGCTCTCCCGCTCCCGCTCTCCCGCTCTCCCGCTCTCCCGCTCTCCCGCTCTCCCGCTCTCCCGTTCTCCCGCTCTCCCGCTCTCCCGCTGCCCCGCTCTCCCGCTCTCCCGATCTTCTGCCAACTTCTCCAGTCGCCGATTGGACGAGGAAACCCTTCCCGGTCGCCGATGGGCGGCGGGAGAGCGGGAGAGCGGGAGCGGGGCAGCGGGAGAGCGGGAGAGCGGGGCAGCGGGAGAGCGGGAGAGCGGGAGAGCGGGAGAGCGGGAGAGCGGGAGAGCGGGAGAGCGGGAGAGCGGGAGAGCGGGAGAGCGGGAGAGCGGGAGAGCGGGAGAGCGGGAGAGCGGGAGAGCGGGAGAGCGGGAGAGCGGGAGAGAGCGGGAGAGCGGGAGAGCGGGAGTGCGGGAGGGCGAGAGTGCGGGACAGCGGAAGAGCGGGAGAGCGGGAGAGCGGGAGAGCGGGAGAGCGGGAGACCGGGAGACCGGGGGAGCGGGAGAGCGGGAGAGCGGAAGAGCGGGAGAGCGGGAGAGAGAGCGGAGCCGGGAGAGCTGGAGAGCGGGAGAGCGGGAGAACGGGAGGCGGGCGAGCGGGAGGGCGGGAGAGCGGGAGAGCGGGAGAGCGAGAAAACGGCCACCCGTGCCCGGGTGCGGGTGACGGGAGACGGACCCCGCTCTCCCGCTCTCCCGCTCTCTTGCCCTCCCGCTCTCCCGCTCTCCCGCTCTCCCGCTCCCCCGCTCTTCCGCTCTCCCGCTCTCCCGCTCTCCCGCCTCGCGACCTCCCGCTCTCCCGCTCTCCCGCTCTCCCGCTCTCCCGCTCTCCCGCTCTCCCGCTCTCCCGCTCTCCCGCTCTCCCGCTCTCCCGCTCTCCCGCTCTCCCGCTCTCCCGCTCTCCCGCTCTCCCGCTCTCCCGCTCTCCCGCTCTCCCGCTCTCCCGCTCTCCCCCTCTCCCGCTGTCCCGCTCTCCCGCCCTCCCGCTCTCCCGCTCTCCCGCTCTCCCGCTCCTTGACTCTCCCATTCTCCTGTTCTGCCGCTCAGGGCCCGAAGTGATGCGGAGGAGGAGGTGCAGATGGAGGAGTCTCAGGATGAGGAGGCGGAGAGGATGGAGGTAGGAGGAGGAGGAGATGTAGGAGGAAGGGCAAGGAGGAAGAGGTAGAGGAGGAGGATGAGGATGAGAGGAGGAGGAGGAGGAGGAGGAGGAGGAGGAGCAGGATGAGGAGATGAGGATGAGGAGAAGTAGGAGGAGCAGGAAGAGGAGGATGAGGAGGAGGACGAAGACGAGGACGATGAAGCAGAGGAGGCGGATGAGAATGATGAGAAGCAGGAGTCTGATGATCTGGAGAGGAGGAGGCGCAGGAGGAGTTGGAGGCATATGAAACGAAGGAGTCGGAGGATAATGAGGAAGAGGAGGAGGAGGAGGAGTTGGTAGAGGAGGAGGTGCAGGAGGAGGAGGATGAGGAGGAGGAGGCGGATGAGGAGGGGGCGGAATAGGAGGGGGCGGATTAGGAATCAGCAGGAGGAGGAGGAGGAGCAGGGGTGAGGAGGAGGAGAAGGAGGTGGGGTGAGGATGAGGAGGAGGAGGAGGACCATCAGCAGAAGGAGGAGGGAATGGTATAGTAAGTTTTCATCCTTCCCATCCTCTCCTTGCCTCATCCCCACTTCCATCCTTCTCTTCAAATCCTAGTTCAGCCTTCTACTTACGCTGCTGTCCTATGCTTATGATGATGATGACGCCGGTGTTGATGATGATGATGGTGCCGATGGTGATGGTGGCGATGATGACGATTACAATTGTCCCGATGCCATGGGGATGATGATGGTGACGATGGCGATCGTGGCGATGAGAATGACGATGATGATGACGGTGACGATGGCGATGACGATGACGCTGACGATGACGACGGTGAAGATGGTGACGATACTGGTGCTGATGATGATGATGAAGATGATGATGATGACTGCGGTGGAATCTGGGCCCGGGCTACCACAGACTGCACTGCCCTCCCGTTCTCCCGCTCTCCCTGTTTCCTGCAGAGAGAGAGAGAGGGAGAGAGAGACACACCAGCGCCAGGAAGAGTCACGCGTGATCCCCAGATCAGGAGATGAGATCGAGAGCGAGGGGGGAAGAGCGAGAGCGAGGGAGGATGGGTGTAGGCGCTTAGGGCCATCATATAGCTAGCCTCCCCTGGCGCTCACCTTGCAGTGCCACTGATGTCATCATCGCCACCATCACCACCGCGAGGACCATCAACACGATAACCAGAACCCCCAGCAGCACCAAGACCACCACCATGATCGCGATCGACAGCATCACCTAGACTTCCAGCGTCACCATCACCGTCGCCATCGTCATCGTCATCGCCACTAGCACCAGCAGTCAAGATCATAGTCGTCACTGTCATCATCAACATCACCGCCAGCTGGGGCACCACATCTTCACAGGCATCATCTCCATCGAACTATTATCAAGATGGGGGCCATCACTACCACCACTATGACTATCACGATGATGCCACTACCTCCTGGCCACCAACACCACAACACCATCATGTGCAGTGGCATCAACATCGTCATCGTCATCCTCAGTTGCACCATCATCACTCCCACCTGGCACCACCATATATGTATCGCAACCAGCCCCTGGGACATCACCACGAACACCACCTAGTCAACCGCTAACACCAGTATCATCACGATGACCTCCACTAGTAGCTGGGCGTGCAGCATCGCACCAATACCGTCGCCATCACTACCAGCAACATCAATCCCGCCCACCACCTTAGCACTCTTTATCGTCATCATCGTCATCACCGCCATTTGGATCACCACCACTGGCAACAACTCAATTTGGCAGCATGACAAGTGGACCATCACAGCTACCACCATCAATACCATGCGCACATCATTACCACCTGGCCACGA